CCATCTCATCCTCTGCCATCCTCTTCTCCTTTTGCCTTCAATTGGAGATTATATATACTAGCCAAAAAATGTGCTTAATCCCTCTTCGTAGATGGTTTGTGTGCACTCTTTGCACTGGGTGAAATGAATATTCACAATGCTCATTTGATATGCATATTATCTATTAAAATAATAACAATTTACAAAACTGTTTTGGAGATTTTAATCACTTTTCAAAATAACTAATGTAGTTTTCACAAGTTTATATATTTAGGAATGAAAATATTGTTTAACTAAGGCATAACAGATGTTGAATTGTGCAACTCAGCATATTAATATAACTCAAAAATGTTACAGTATGTATGTATTTCAACTGATCAGTAAGGAGGTTAATAATATGATTATTCACTTCATTCTAACATGCAATAATAAGTAATATTTTAAAACTGCACTAGAAACTTAACAAAATTCAGAATAAATCCCCTTAAGTCCCAAAGGGCTTGTTCTCTTGCTACAGAGTTTAATATTTACATTACATTTACATTATGTTTAATGTAATAATATCTGCAGTCTAAAGTATATTTACTTGGAAAATTCTTACTGCAATCAAATGGAAATTCATTAGCATCTAAACATAGTTAAATTAACATATCCCTAATATCGAACTAAAGTAGTACTGTTAAGTATAAGTCTTTCTAGTGATACTTAGAAAGTTCTTGTTTCAGATTATCACTGGGCTTTTCACAAGCTATTGTATGTGGCTCAGTAGTTCAGAGACCATGGTTCAGTGGGAGAACTCCTGCATTACCCACAGATCTCAGGGTCAACATCTTCTGAAATCCTGGAAGACTCTGCTATGGAACAATAACATGCTAGCTGAACCAAGGACCTGATTTCGTAGAAGACAGCTGCATATATAAAACCAGTGTTATATCAAAATGCTTGATCAGTGAAGGAAGTACAGAGTCTGGAGTAAGCTATTCAAATAACCATTTAGACATTAACATTATGAATATCTCTATTGCATTCTTGTTAAAGGATAAGTCACAGTCATAATGTACAGCATTTAACCATGCCTAAATATACCTTGGATATCATTGCCAACCCTTCCTTAAAATGATATGACATTCTTTATTTCTTTATTGGTCTCATATAATGCTGAACAGTGTGGCAAGATGCATACAACAACTCACAAGGTAATCCTCTTTGGAATCAGCTAATAAGTATTCCTTTCCCTAACCTCTCTAATCCTTGTTTGATAACAGTCAGGTAAAATAGTAGAGTTAAACTTCCTTAGACAAAAACTGAATGTGGATTTTTCATTCATTCGTTCTACCTATTTGATTATTCCTAGAATAACCTGATTAAAGTTTTGCATATTTAAGCCTCGTTTTATTTAAATAGGAGAGAGACTTAAGTATGTGCTTAACCTGAAATATGAACTATTTTTTAAAAAACTACTTTTGTATATTAATTGAGTTTATGTCACAACAGAATTATAACTTAGTGTACCATTTACTAGTAATGTTTCTCGGCTAGTGTCAATACCTAGCTGTCCCTGGCTAATCTTGAAAAAACTGAGCAAGTTTAGACTAGTTGGTACTTGGACAGAAAATAACAGGGATATCCCAGGGCTGTGCATTACAATGGGAAATTTGAAAAACTTCCCAGAAAAACTCAGTGACAAGCCACTTTCATATTGTTAAAGAGATAATCTGCTCACAGCTATCTAATAGTAGACCACTCACTCAACTTCTATGGTGGAAGAAAAGTGGAATATAAATGTAACAAATTAAGAAGCTACCATCACACAATCAGTAGTATTTATATTGTAACCCTTTATACGTGTCAGTTCAAGGACAAATCAAATTCCTTGCTCAGTGGGAGTTTTAATTTCCCCTTTAGAAAGACAGAGATTCAGAAGGATGAAATGGGCAGTATATTTAGTTTTTAGCTCATCGGGGCAATAAAGCATTAAGATAAAAGCTCAAACTTGAAATAGCAGCTAAAGGAGACAGTTAATTAAATAAAGAGGAAAAAGGGTGAGATGGAATGATTCTGAAAGCATACTTTTGCAAAGAAAAAGTCTGGATTGTTATACCAGTAGCACAGGATTAAGAATAGCCTTTGCACTGAATGTGAATAGAGTTGAGTATCCTCCTAGATAAATTCCAGACAAACTTTAAAATGTTTAAGGCCCATGACTTCCATGGGAGAAAGAAAGTTCTTAATGCTTTCCTGCAAAAATCAATGGGACAAGTGCTTAGCTTTGTACAGAATACACCTAGTTTGCACCAGTGTTTCTATTAAAAAGGGTGCAGAATACAGATGATGGTGAAACCCAGAAACTGGACAAAAGTGTTTGTGTGTGAAAGCAATTTCCTCCTTTTACTAACTGCCTCTGCTTTCCTATCTGAAAAACCTGACTGCAAGATTACAATGATACTCCTAGTCTCAAAGGGACAGGAAATGCAACATTGCTTTATCAGAATTTTCGAACTGCAGTGCATAATAGCATGAGTTGTTACAATTTCACACTCTACAGATGCTATCATTTTTGCCTTTAAAAAAGATGTCAGGACTGTTTCCTTTCTTGATTGGAGTTCAATCTGTGTCTGGACAATCTCCTTTGAGGCTGTTTGAACATAAAACAAGTTTGACTGTACTTGGTTATTTGAGCAGACATATCAAATATAAACATGAACCTGTATGTCATATATCCTTCCCTGATATCCTTCAGCTATCTTGTGCTTCAGCTCCTAGAATTCCCAGCTCACGTACTCAAGGGGAATTCAGAGCACTGAAGTTTAACACAGGTAAAGACAATAGTTGTGGGAAAAACTGCTGTATAGTCATATATTTCCCAGTTGCCTTTAAAACACTAGGGCTACCAGATCTGGGCAGCAAAAATCTGGACATCCATTAGATGGCAACAAAGAGTTTTCTGTATTTCCTTGCTGCCATCTAGTGATCATCTGGATTCTTGCAATCCAGACACAGTAGCCCTAAACAAATCTTTGTTTGAAACCTTCTTTCTCTCACCACAGTTATTGGGAAGCTCCAATTTGTGCTTGACAAACAATGCCTGCATCATCATTTCAATGTTCTCCATATGGCTTCTAATAATAGTTAAGAGACTGCATTTGTATTATCTATCTTAGAGACTTCTAAAATCTTGATAAGGAAAGGCTGATTTCATTGGCCCCATAGTTAAAGGAAAGCAGACCCTAATTAAAAGAATTCTGTTCTGAATTAACTAGTTTGACATGTGCTAATTGACAGTTCCTGTGAAATGGTTCTAATTAAAGTCAATATGTCTTTTTCAATTAAAAGGAAATTAAGAATATACTAATATACATTAACAACTTAATCTGCCTTAAATATCCCATATATCAGCTGCCGGAATGTTACTGGTGAGCCATCTGACATATATCTTTCCTTGTTTGGTTGTGAAGACTTTTTACTCCAAAAGAGCAATAGCAGCTATGTTGTGTCCTACACTCAGCAAGGAGAAAACCAAATTTGTGTAAGTTCTAAATGCAAAAATGGTTAAAGAGAAACCTGCTATATTTAACAGCTAATACCTTCTTAACAAACCAAAAATGTTGGCTATAATAAACACGTTTCCTAGAAGTAATTGTATATTGATAGATAAGAAAGTGGTTGCCTTGTGTTCAAGATTTGCCCTGCAATAAACAACCTACTATGTGTACAGACTACAAAAAGTGTTTTCCCCCCATTATATTTATCAGCTTGATGGGGTTTCTCTTTCTCAAAAAAGTCATTTTCATTTTATATGAAAAATGAAGAAGATGGTGCCTGGTAAGAGCTGAAAGTCACTCCCTTTATTATCTGTCAGAATATGGAAACGCTGTTTATAAATGACAAGGTTAATTCAAATGTATAATACCAAAGTTTTAATATTACTAGTTTTGCTGACAGAGCAAGGAACATTAACAACTTGTAATATCACAGTTATACAGTGGGGCAAAAAAGGATTTAGTCAGCCACCAATTGTGCAAGTTCTCCCACTTAAAAAGATGAGAGAGGCCTGTAATTTTCATCATAGGTATACCTCAACTATGAGAGACAAAATGGGGGAAAAAATCCAGAAAATCACATTGTCTGATTTTTAAAGAATCCAGACATCTTGCTTGTTTGTAGGTGACCAAATACTTATTTTCCACCATGATTTGCAAAAATTCTTTAAAAATCAGACAATGTGATTTTCTGGATTTTTTCCCCCATTTTGTCTCTCATAGTTGAGGTATACCTATGATGAAAATTACAGGCCTCTCTCATCTTTTTAAGTGGGAGAACTTGCACAATTGGTGGCTGACTAAATCCTTTTTTGCCCCACTGTATAACTGTGATATTACAAGTTGTTAATGTTCCTTGCTCTGTCAGCAAAACTAGTAATATTAAAACTTATTTGCAAATCATGGTGGAAAATAAGTATTTGGTCAAAAGTCCGTGTTGCCCAGCGACAGCCCCAAAACATCACTGCTCTAGAGGAGATCTGCATGGAGGAATGGGCCAAAATACCAGCAACAGTGTGTGAAAACCTTGTGAAGACTTACAGAAAACGTTTGACCTCTATCAAACAAAGGATATATAACAAAATATTGCCAACAAAGGATATATAACAAAATATTGAGATGAACTTTTGATATTGACCAAATACT